CAGATCAGGGGGCCCTTTGCAAACCAACAACTTGGTGCTTCTGCCCCTCTATGCCTACTGAGAGCTTACAACAGTGAACCTTGAACAAATAATTACAATGTCAAGGTTCTTTCCTCCTAGTGCTCATCCTGCCCAGGCCATTTTCTCCCTTCAATTTACCACCTCGTCTTACTCCTCGGTGATCCTGGCCTCTTCTTCTGGTAAGGATTCCAGTGAATTCTAATGACTCCCATTAATTTTTATTCCCTATAGCAGATACTATTAGTTGGCCAACCCAACACTGATTCCCAACCCTTCTTCTGCCCATCTCCACTGCAGAGGTTAGAAAAACTCAATGGGTGCTTTCCTAGACTCACTGCAGCTTGGGGTGGTCATGATCCAAATTCCAGCCAATGAAATGTTCCAGAAGTCAGCTGGAAGACTCCTGGGACAGCTTATGCGTTGCTGATAAAAGGGATAGTGTCATTGTTCCCTTATCCTTCTTCCTGACTTAAAAGTTAGATATTAGGACTGGAGGTGTGGCAGCTACTTTGTGACTAAGAGGAAATAGCTAAGAGAATGCAGAAACAGCAGCCTTGACTTAGCTGAGCTTTTGAACCAATAAATGCCGGCAGCCACTTACCTCCAAATTTGTTATGGAGAAAAAAGTATATTCCTATTTACTTAGGTCATATAGGTCAGTTTCCTGTACCCTGTAGCCAAAAGTTTCCAAACTGACAGATTTTTGTACTGGGGACCAGGTCTAAGCCAGTTAGCCTCCTTAAGATGTCAGCTAAGACACCACACATCTGTTAAGACCCACTGGCTGTTGAAACATCTAAAGACACCAAACTGAATGGATGGTGTAGCTACAAAAGAAAACTACAGTGATCAACTAACAGCTCATTACTATCAGAGGTTAAAAAAAAACCCCAAAAACACAGAGGCAGGTTTTACACCAGCCATTAGACTGAAATGCAACCTTTCCCTCCTTCCACACATTAACATCAGTAGCAAAGCTGGCAATTTCTCATCTGAATGCTCCCTCATTATTCAGAATTAACTCTCAGAAGCTAAAACTCATAGCCAGTCTTTTCCAATCTGAGATCTTAGCTTAGAAGGTGGCAAATGAATTGGACAAAAAGACCTTGAGAGAAGACACAAACAGAGGCAGCTAGGAGGTGCCTTGGTTGTCCTGGGAGGTGACTGCCCGGTACAGCCCAGTACAGCTGGCCCGAGCCAGCCCTCAGGGTGAGGACTAAGAAGCAGGCGGTGGTAATTGCTTCATTACAACAAGTGGAGACTGTTTGCAGGTGCTGAGATCACTCACTTGTGGGGGTTTTATTGCACTCGTCAGATTAACAAACATTTTGATTAAATCACCACTTCATTGGCTCTGAGCACATGACTTCTATCTATTTATTTATTTAAAATATTTACTTATTCTTGAGTGAGAGAGAGATAAGAGCATGAGTGGGGAACAGGCAGAAAGAGGGAGACACAGAATCTGAAGCAGGCTCCAGGCCATCAGCACAGAGCCTGATGTGGGGCCCGAACTCACAAACAGTGAGATCATGACATGAGCCGAAGTTGGACACCCAACCAACTGAGCCACCCAGGTACTCCTGAGCACATGACTTTTAATAAGAGGACAATACCCACTGCAAATGAACATCAGTGCACATTCAATATTCAGATCCGCTGGGGGCAACAGAGGAACAGGTGGGGAGACAGCCAGATGCCAAGCTTTTCCTAAGGTGCACAGTTACAGATCTCGAATCGTAGAATATCTAAGCAAAAAGTAACGTTTGAGAACAAGACCACAAATGTAAATATCTACATCGGTACTGCCAAGATTAAAAACAAAAAAAAATGGGCGAATGTGACCGGTAAAGACATAAGGAGAGCATATGCCCATCAAATTCAAAACATTTTAGAAACCTGTGTCAGCCAAACAAAAACATCTGTGATCCATCCATATCTGGATCAGGTCACTGAACTTATAATCCCTGGGTGAAGTTTAAGGTCTTTATGTCACAGAAAAGGAAACTAAAGTCCAAACATGGGGGCTGACTTAGCCATGATGGAAGGCTGCAAAAAACTATAAAGGCTACTAATTAGAGCACTCTGTTGATTATCCACCCTGAGCCAGGCGTGAGCCAGGCATTTCACACATACGGTCTCATGTGAGCCTCAAAACCACATGTGAGGTAAACTGCAAAATCTGCAGTAGAGACTGCAGGCTGTCCACGAAACATGCAAGCCCTTCTTCCACACTGATGGGGCTGTAGCTGGGCATGTGGCCTCCTGGCCAATGAATGCATTTCCCAGCGCCCCCTTACAGTTAGGTGGGCTCTCGAGTCTTAGCTCGCATCTTTGCCAACGGAAAGTGGGCACTCTGGGCTCACGACTCTTAAGACAGTGATGCTTTGCTTTCCCTGCTCCCTTTACCTGCCGGTGGACAGATCAACTGGAGGTGACTTCATTTCATTCACGAGGTGAAGTTAAGGCACTGAGAAAGGGCAGAGTCACACGATGAGAGGAAGATGGCAGAACCACTCCTGCCCTGGACCCCTAGACCAGGGATTGGCAAACTACGGCCTAGGGGCCAAATACAGTCCATTGCCTTTTTTCATAAATAAAGTTTTATTGGAACACAGCCACGCCCATTAAGTCACATATTGTCTATGGCTGCTTCTGTGCTACGACAGCCTGTCGAAGCATGGTTGATGCTCCTTATTCATGGTAGTTATGTTCTATTAAAGTTGCTGCCAACAATGAATTAGCAAATACTGGACCAGGTTAGTTTCCTGTGAGCCTTTGGTCACAACAGTTTTATCAACTGATCAATACAAAACCTTGCTTTTTTGTGTTTCTGTTTAGAGACCTTATTTAATATATATTATTGATTCATTAACATTGAACTCACAGCCAACAGCACTATAACTCATCTCTGAACAAAGCTTATCTGACGTATATTTTCTCTGGAAGGCAAATACAGCTTTCTTGCGCTTCAGGAAAACTAGACAGCACTTTGGCACTACACCTGAGGGCCATTTTAAACAACAGAATCACCAACACAAAGCACAGAGACACAAAAAACATGGCAGTACCTAGGCCACAATAAGGACACATGTTTACAGCATCAGCTGAAATACCAAGGCGGAGCATTGCTTTGTTCGACCTTAGCTGGGCCTCAGGGAACTCAAATTTTTCATTGCTTTGTGTGTGAATTACTGCAGAAGCATCCTAAGTACTGATGTGGGGGTTACAAATACATTTTAGCAAGAGGGCAAATTCACAAATACAGAATCGGTGAATAATCAGGATCAACTGTAGTTGCAACAGAAACCATATGGCCCACAAAGCCTGGAAATGTACTATCTGGCCACTTCTAGACCACATCTGCCAATCCCTGCTCTGCCCTATTAGAAAAAAAATAAACTTGTCAAAGCTACCGAATTTTTGAGTTTCTCTGTCACAGCAGCTTACTATGTCCTAATGCAGGTTTTATTAAAGTCTATGCTCACCCCACCTCACAGTGCCACCTCATTTTTCCACTCCTCTTCTAGAGGGAGGTTCACATTTCCATCAACCTTTTTTTTTGGTACCATGTAGGCTAATATTTCTCAAGAGCTGGTATAAAACCTTCTGCATCAGGGGCGCCTGGGTGGCTCAGTCGGTTGAGCGTCCAACTTGGGCTCAGGTCATGATCTCACGGCTCGTGGGTTCGAGCCCCGTGTCGGGCTCTGTGCTGACAGCTCAGAGCCTGGAGCCTGCTTCTGATTGTGTTTCCCTCTCTCTCTGACCCTCCCCTGTTCACGCTGTCTCTCTCTCTCTCTCTCTCAGAAAAAAACAAAACATTAAAAAAAAAAAAAAAAAAACCTTCTGCATCAGCATGGTGTAGCCGGTTAAAAATGGAGCTTCCTGGGGGTGCCTGGCTGGCTCAGCTGGTAGAAGCATCTGGCTTTCAATCTCAGGTTCATGAGTTCAAGCCCCCATTGGGCTTGGGGCCTACTTTTTAAAAAAATGCAGATTCCTGTTGAAAATACACACCCAAGTCCTACTGAATTACTTGGGGAAGAAGACAATTCAACTCTCCATTTTTAACAAGCTTGACAAATTATTCTCAATACATTTTACGGTCTGAGGACGACTGAACTGGTAAGGAATAAGCGCAGGAAGACAATTACCCTGCATCTATCTCTTTGTCCTGGGACAGAAATCTAGGGCGCTGTAACAGAGAAGAAACAAGACGCGTTGGAGGGCAAATCACCTGTGCTGATCCTCAGCTCCACCACTGCTTCAACCTGAAACCTCAGTTTCCACACCTGTAAAAAACCTCACAGGCACTGAGCAAGGGCTGAGAACGCAAATGAAGTTCCATGTAGCAGTTGCTCCATATGCCTCAATTTTCTTTCCCTTCCATATGCAGTCAATTATTTTTAAGCACTTTGGGAACTTCACCATTCCACAATTCTCTACAGAATCTCACAGATTCCCAAAGTAATTTTCAAGCTACAAGCTTCAGCACTCCAGAGGGAAAATTTCCCATCTCAGGAGATATTTAAGCCATTCAGTAATGTACTAAACGGTATGGGCTCCCTCACTTCTGGGGGGGTGTCTCTCATCCACAGGCATCCTTCTGGGGTCCCCCTCACCTCCGAGTGCCCGCCCCTTTTACGTTCTCTTCAGTAACACGTCTTCACTAAGGCCTCCTTATTCCCGTGTCCCGCCCTCTTTGGGGCTTTCCCTTCACCTCCACGTCTCTTCCCCTCTGGAAGTCCCCTCACCTCTGGTGCCCCCGCCGGACTCTCCAACATCCTTTTCCCGCATCCCGCCCCTCACTTCCGGGTACCCCACCGGACCCCCTCACGCCGCGGGCGTCCCTCTCCCAAACCCGCGTAGCCCTCACTTTCTCCCCTCAGCCCCTCCTCCAACCTGCAGCCAGGCGGACCCACTACTCCGCCGCGGGGAGAAGACAACGAAGGACTCGGCCCACCCCCCAACTCTCCCCTCACCTCTAGAGCGACGCCCAGATTCTCCCGCTTCTTTTTGGTCATGTTACTCGCAGGGATCCCCCAGTCATTATTGGACGCACCCACTGGCGGCACCACGCATGAGCAAAACTCGTGCTTCTCCCTCATTGGCCGTGCGGCGGCGGGGGTGGGGCTACTGGAGGTCACCGTCTTATCGAGGGGCGTGGCCAGCCTGGCGCGGCCATGTTTATGAGGGGCAACCTCTAGTTTCAGGTCTCAGGCTAGGGGAGTGGAGAGGATGGCTGGATTGGCCCGTGAGGAACAATGGCCCACCTTCTATAGATGGAGTTGCTCCTTTCCTTCCTAGTTCAAACCATTTCGCATCTTTTTTCACCGCTCTCTATTCTGTTTCATTTTATTTTATTATGTATTGGGGGGAGGGGAGGAGAGAGAGAGAGAAAGAGAGAGAGAGAGAGAGAGAGAGAATCCCGAGCAGGTTCCACACCAAGTTCCACATCAAGCACAGAATCGAACACGGGGCTTGATCCCACGACCCTAGGATCATGACCTGAGCTGAAGAAGAGTTGAATGCTCAACTGACTGACCACCCAGGCACCTGTAATTTCATTAAAAAAAAATTTTTTTTTACATTTATTTTATTTTTTTGAGAGACAGAGTGAGACAGAGCGTGAGGGGAAGAGAGGAGACACAGAATCAGAAGCAGGCTCCAGGCTCTGAGCAAACGTTCAGTGCAGAGCCTGATGCCGGGCTGGAACCCATGAAGCGTGTGTTCATGACCTGAGCTGAAGTTGGACACTTAACCCGCTAAGCCACCCAGGCGCCCTCATAATTTCATTTTTAAAAAGAACTGGTGAAGGGTGGCTGGATGGCTCGGTTGGTTAAGCTTCCGACACTTGATCTCAGCTCAGGTCTTGATCTCAGAGTTGGGAGTTCAAGCCCCACATTGGGCTCCATGTTGGGCATGAAGTCTACTTAAAAATAAATAAGTAAATAAACAAACAAAATAAAAAAGAGTTGGTGGTAGGAGACCCTTTAAGTTTCTTTCATGACCCATTAATGGAGATTGAACTGCAATTTGAAAAATAGTCATAGACATGTTCCCATATCTTTCAAATCATCATTTGTGGTAGCTATATATACTGCCAGATAAGTACATACCATTTGTGTATCAGACATTATTCTATTGGACATTGTTTCCAAATAATGCCAAAGCAAACATCTTTGTGTGCATAGCTTTTTATGACAAATTCACACAAGTGGAATTTTTGGGTCAAAGAGAATGATACCAGAATCAAAGCTCCTTATTTTCTGACCAGTTATCTCTTCACTGGAGCCTGTGTTTGTGTGTGTGAATGATAACCCCAGCTGAACGTCTGGGGGGAAAAGGAAAAATGTTTTCTGATCTGTGTTCTCTTCTTGATAGAGTCATTGAGTGATGGAGCTGGAAGGGCCCTGAGATATCATCTCGCCTGGCTGCCTGACTGAGGCCCACAGAGGGAAAGTACAGTAAATTCTGTCTGAACAGGAAGCAGGCTATTGAGCAGTTGTTTGGAGCAGTTCTCAACACCCAGCACAGGAAAAACTTACTCAAGAACACTGTCCATCAACTGTCAGTCAGCAGCATTTTCTGTCAGAACACTCTTCACAGCATCGGTTCCAATCCCAGAAAAACCAGACTTTGTACTTCCCAATTATCACAGGCGCAGGCCCAGGGGAGGTGAGAAGAGTGGGGGAAACACTATGTTCTTTTAGAAGTGGCTCCTTATGCACGTTTGGCACCGAGATAAAGCCACGGAGATCTAAGTGGGCCTTGGTCCCTTATCTCTCTCCCCCGTTCCCATGTGAAATGCTGGACAAGCTATCATCTGTCTCCTTGCCCCGTGGATTTGATGATGGGACAAACACTTGAAACGGGACTGGAATCAGAGCGTACATGGGTTGGTAAGGGAAGTGAGGGAGACTGTCATGAACTCTAATCCCAGCTCTGCCACTTAGCAGTGGTGTGATTTGGGACGAGACACTTAAGTTCCCTTGAGCGGTGTTTCCCATGACTGCAAAACTGAGTTCGGGAGGCGGGGCTTGTAGGGTCATTGTGAGCATTCTGAAGTGGTCGGTGCTGTGCTTTGTGAATGTCCAGGAGAGGCAGCAGGACTGATGTCTCTGGGGCCAGCCTTCCAGTATAGGGTTTCGCTTACTAACCGTTGCCCTTTGTATTTTTTGTTATTGTTTGGGGATTGGTTGCAGTCAGCTTTGACACTATTGCAAAGTCTCTGTTGTTAGGAGTTTGGGGCAAATACTTGGGTTGTTTCCTGCTCTCAAGGATGAGTGGTTCACTGCAAAAGGCAGCCCCCAACATATACAAGGGTCTCTCTGTGATGCTCTCTTCATCTCTCTATTTGTCCTTCCTGCTGAGACCATCAGTCATCGGTTTCATGTGTCTAGATATATAGTCGGTGTGATCCCCGAGGTGCCGGGGAGGCTGAAAAGCCCCAGGTAACCCACCAACGTCTTTTCGTCCCCCTGGTACATATAAAGAACGACTTTGATTCCCACAGGAGCTGTCTGCGAGTCTATTGCAGCCTGGCCAGGCTTTGTGCTGGAAATTCTGCCCACACACAGATGGATTACTGTGGACCGGTTGTCTGTCTGTCTTTATTCTCCAGTGGACTGCGGTTCTTAACTGTCTGTGAGTTTTAGAGCTAAGTGTTTAAGGGAAATAGAGCACTGCACTGGCAGACAGGAGAACTGGTTCATTTCTGGCAAGGCCAGGTTCTCACTGCATGGCCTTGGGCAGGTAAAGCCTCCTCTTTGGTTTTTAATGTCCTCATCTGTGAAATGGGCATGGAGATGGCCGGGGGGTGACTAGGCAGCCTAGACACCTTAAGATTCTGTTTCAGTGGCCTTGTTATATGCAAAGCGCCTAGACATTAGGTGGCCTCCTTGGCTGTAAAGGAGACATATAAAATAAAAACCAATCATTACCCTCAAGATATCTTCAATCTAGTTAGAGAGACAGACTGACAACATGAAATAGTGAATGCCAGACATCATATAATTAAATGCCAGCTGTCTGGTACATACTGTTGATGCATTAGAGCTCAGAAAAAAAGAGAATGCTGTAGCCTTTGTTTAGGCTATGGGTCCCAGGATGGACAAGATTAGGTTAGGTGAAGATGGGGAAGAGGATACCACAGGTGGGACCCCAAGGGGCTTCCTATGCCTATAAGTTCACCCTTGCAACTCTGCACAAAAGCACTGTGTAGGCTAGCCACAGCCCTGGCTTATTTGTCACGGAGACCCTCGGGTCGATTCTTTTATCCCTTGATCCATCCTGGGCTTGCCTGACCCGTGGGGCCCGGAACCTGGACCCCAACCTCCTTCTCCGCCCCCCATTGCCTTGAGGGCACCTTCTCAGAGCAGGAGTGGAAGAGAGTGGAATCGTTCACTGTCAGAAGCAGTTCAGGCAGGAAATGAAGAATTTCGTAGGTGGTTAAAAATACAGTGGAGACTGATTTATGTTTGAATTTTGTTCCAGGACAGCAGATTATAGCCCAAGTTCTGAGGCAAAGGCAGCAGTGTCTTTATGGCCTACTTGGATCAGTTTTATGTCTTGGTGATTGTTATACGTTTTGGCTAAGCCAAGATGCTGGAACTTTTTGGTCCTGTACTTCGCTGGGGAACCCATGTTGCACTCCTTGCACCCAATCTCATTTCACCATAAGTAGAAAGCAAAAGAGATGAAAGGGCTGTTTTTGCTTGCTGTTTAATTGGCATCTGGTTTTTAGCTAAATTGGATCAAATCACAAATGATGACTCTACATAAGACCCTGAAGTAGAGGTCACGTGACATCGCAAAACCAAAAGGATGGGGATCTAAATATTGTTGAGTATACATATCCTTAATATCTTGATATCCATAATATACTCTTTTTTTTATTTTTTTAATGTTTTATTTATTTCTAGGAGAGAGAGAGAGAGAGACAGCGTGAGCAGGGGAGGGTCAGAGAGAGAGGGAGTCACAGACTGAAACAGGCTCCAGGCTCTGAGCTGGCAGTCAGCACAGAGCCCGACGCGGGGCTTGAACCCACGAACCGCGAGATCATGACCTAAGCGAAAGTCGGATGCTTAACCGACTAAGCCACCCAGGCGCCCCACTCTTGATCAGATTCTAGTGCCAAGATAAGCTGTGTGACCTTTCCTGGCATGCTGCTAGGTTTTTACCTTAATGACTGCTGTCTCTTTTGTAACTGATCATGCTTCCCACATTTTGGTTCATGAGGAAGCTCAGATCTGAACTTGTTCAGGGATTTTGAGCATAGGTTTCCATGTTCTAGTGTTTTCTCTGGATTTATTTTATTTTTCTACACTTGTTTTCCCTTTGCTCTATCATTCTATTTTTATCTTACTGTATTGTGTGCATCTTGGTAAACTACCTCAAATCCTTTTTTGGAACACAAAGGAATATAAATAAATCAATAAATATACATCCTGTATTTGTAAATATGGCACTTTGTTCTTTCTAAAGCAATTTTCACATCCATTAGCTCTGTAGGTCTTCACACGCCCCTGTAAGGAAAGTTGGGTGGACACTCAATCACCCCCATTTTGCAGGCAAGGAAGTTGAGGTGCATCCATGAATGACGTAGCTTGCAGAAAAGGACAGACCCACCCTCCATATATCTAGACCACCTGAACACCTTTAAAGACAGGAATATGAAACTAACAGCTCATTAAGTAGCTTTCTATTAGTTTGTTCTATTAGAACATGTGGATTGAGAAGGAGAAGGACTCCAACCAAGGTTGGAGTCACCAGTTGGGGAGGACACAAACTGGGGTGACCACTGGCTTCAGAGATCTCCTCCCTCCTGAGTCCATATCTGTGTGGCCATCTCCACTGCCCCTCCTTTCTGATAGTAGACCCATTCCCACTGCTCACATGGGTGACTCACAGTGGTGCTCACATTGGGCATGGGACTCAAGTTGGGCAGCCAGTCATAGAACTACATGCCCCTGACCACAGTGATTGGTTCAGAGGAGAGGACACATGACCTGAGCAGGCCAATGGAGTTCTTCGCTGAGATTTTTCATCTCCAGTTAGGAAATGAAATTCCATCTGAGCTCT